ATGGTACAAGATTTTAGAAATATTCATTCTGAAATGCATTTTTCTAAAAAAATTTAAAAACTTTGATATTTCAATATTTCGTTTTGGAAAAATGGTAGGGATTATGGAGGAAATGAAGTCGAAAGTAACTTCTGGAGGTCGAAATGTAGAAGATAATGTCTTTAGTTAAGTTTCTAAGGTGGCCGATAAATTCCAAAATTTTCATGTTGAAAAATTTTGGTTTTGAAGTAGTTTTAAAAAATTTTAAAAAACGTCTAGGTGAGAGATTTCGACGTGGTGATTCCAAAAATATAGCGTATTTATGATTGTTCAAGGTTTTAGAAATATTCATTAACACTCATTTATTTTTAAATGCAAACAATCATATTTCAATAGACGATTCTGGGAAAATGTTAGAAGTTATCAAAGAAATAAAACCGAAAGTAACTCCTGAAGGTCGGAATGAACAAGAAAATGTTTTTAATTAAACTTAGAGGTTGGTCGAAAAATTCCGAAATTTTCATAATGAAAAATTTTGCTTTTGAAAAAATTGCCGCAAAAATGAATCCGAGAGCAACTTCAACGTTTTGATTTAGAAAAAATTGTCTAAAATTTCTTAAAAAATTGTGGGAAATAGATTTCGACGTGCTGCCAAAAATATTGCGTTTTTATTTTCATGGAACAGAATTTTAACAATATTCGGCCTAAAATGCCATTTTCAAAAAAATACATATATAAAAACTCATCATCATCATTTTAATGGGAGATTCTGGTTAAATGATACGTGTTATCGAAAAAATGAGGTCAAAAGTAATTTCTGGGGGTCGAAATGTACAAGAAAATGTTTTCAATGAAATTACGAAGGTCGTCAAAAAATTCCGAAATTTTCATGGTGGAAAATTTTGGTTTCCAAAAAGTTGCCAAAAAATCATAAAAAAATTCTGGGAGATAGATTTATACGTGATAATTCCAAAAATATGGCATTTTGGTGGTCCCGGAAGAAGGTTTCTACAATATTCAGCCTGAAATGCATTTAAAAACATCGAAAAAACTGTGATATTTTAGAAATTCTGGAAAAATGGTAGGAGTTGTCGAAGAAATTAACCCAAAAATAACTTCTGGAGGTCCAAATGTACGAGAAAATGTCTTTAGTAAAGTTTCGAACGTTGTCGACAAATTTCGAAATGTTCATATTGAAAAAGTTGTTTAAAAATCCCTAGAGAATTATGGGAGAAATATTTCGACGTACCAATTCCAAAAATATATCCATTTTCTGGTCCCGGTACAAGATTTTAGAAATATTCGATGCAATTTTCTAAAATAGATCCAAAAAACTCTCATATTTCAATAGGCGATTCTGGAAACAGGGTAGGGATTATCGAGAAAATGAAGTCAAAATTAACTTCTGGGGGTTAAAATGCACAAGAAAACGTTCTTAGTCAAGTTTCGAAAATAGTCGAAAATGGGCCAAAATTTGAAGAAGTATTGCAAAAATTTCACTTTTAAAAAAGTTGTCTAAAAATCCATTAAAAAAATCTGAGATGTAGATCGCGACTTGCTGATTACAAAAATATAGGATGTTTATCTTCACAGAGCAACAAGTATTTGGTTTCAAAGTCAAATTCTTGAAAAATTCCAAAAATTGTTATATTTCAATGGGCATTTCTGGAAAAGCGGATGCAGTTATCGTAGAAGCGAAGTCAAAAGCAACTTCTGCAGGTCGAAATTTACAAGAAAATGTCTTTGGTGAATTTTCAAATGTCGTGAATAAATTTCGAAATGTTCATTTTGAGAAATTTGGTTTTGCAAAAGTTGGCTAAAAATCCTTAAAAAATTTGGAATGTAGATTTGAACGTGGTGATTTTAAAAATATAACGTTTTTCTGGTCCTGGAACAAGATTTCAGCAATATTCTTCCTGAAATGCACTATTTAAAAAAATTGAAGAACCCTCATGGGAAATTCTGGAGAAATGGTAGGAGCTATTGAAGAAATTAAGCTAAAAGTAACTTCTGGAGGTCGAAATGTAGGACAAAATGTCTTTCTTGAAAATTCGAATGTTGTCGATAAACTCCAAAATTTTCATTTTGCAAAATTTTTGTTTTAGAAAAGGCTCTCTAAAAACCCTCAAAAAATTTTGAATATAGATTTTCGACGTGTTGATTCCAAAAATATGGCGTTCTGGTGGTTCCAGAACAAAATTTTGGCAATATTCTATCTGAAGTCCACTTTTTTTAAACATTTTTTAAACTTTTATATTTCACTGTGGGATTCTGAAAAAATGGTAATAGTTATCGAAAAAGTGAAGCCAAAACCAGCTACTGGAGATCAAAATGTACAAGAATTAAATTCCGAAATTTTCATTTTGAAAAATTTTGGTTTTTAAAAAGATATCTAAGAGTTCTCAAAAATTCTGGGATGTAGATTTCGATGTACTGATTCCAAAAATATAACGTTTTTATGGTCCCAGAACAAGACTTCACCAATATTAGGCCTGAAATCCCCTTAAAAAAAACTCCTTTTATGGGAGATTCTGTAAAAATGACAGCAATTATCGAAGATATGAAGGTAAAAGTTACTTCTGGAGATCGAAATGTACAAAAAAATGTCTTTAATGAAATGTCGAATGTCGTCGATAAGTTCCGAAATTTTCATTTTGAAAAATTTTAGTTCTGAAAAAATTGTCTAGAAATCCTCAAAAGTGTCTGAGACATAGATTTCGACGGGCTAATTCCAAAAATATAGCTTTTTTATGCTCCAGGAACAAGATTTTATCAATATTAGAACTGAAATACGCTTAAAAAAAACGGAAGCTCTCATATTGTAAAGGGAGATACTGGAAAAATGGTAGGAATCATGAAAGAAATAAAACCAAAAATAACTTCTGACGGTCAAAATGCAGAAGAAAATGTTGTTAATCAACTTTCGAAAATAGTCGAAATGGGTCGAAATTTGAAGATATTGGAAAAATTTCGCTTTTGAAAAAGTTTTCTAAAAATCCAAAAAAAGATATAGATATCGACGTGTTGATTCCAAGAATATAGCGTGTTTATGTTCACGAAGCAACATTTTCGAAATATTCGGTTTTAAAGTCGAATTTTAAAAATTATCAAAAATTGCTATACTAGTATTTCAATGGGCGAATTTTGTAAAAGCGGATACAGTTATCGAAGTGAAGCCAAAAGTAATTTCTAGAGGTTGAAATTTACAAGAAAATGTCTTTGGTGAATTTTCGAATGTTGTGAATAAATTTCGAAATGTTCATTTTCAGAAATTTTGGTTTTAAAAAAGCTGTCTAAAAATCTTTAAAAAATTCTGGGAAATAGATTTTAAAACGTGGTGATTCTAAAATATAACGTTTTTACGGTCCTGGAACAAAGTTACAGCAATATTTTGCCTGAAGTGCACTTTTTTAAAAAAATTCAAAAATGCTCACCTTTAATGGGAAATTCTGGACAAATGGTAGGAATTATCGAAGAAATGAAGCCAAAAATAACTTCTGGAGGTCGAAATGTAGAACAGAATGTCTTTCGTGAAAGTTCACATGTTGTCGATAATTTCCAAAATTTTCATTTTGAAAAAGTTGTCTAAAAATCCTCAAACAATTCTGGATATAGATCTCGACGTGCTGATTCCAAAAACATAGCGTGTTTATGTTCATGAAGCAACATTTTCGAAATATTCTGTTTTAACGTCAAATTTTTGAAAAATTCCAAAAATTGCTATATTTCAATGAGCAATTCTAGAAAAGCTGATGCAGTTATCGAAGAAGCGAAGCCAAAAGTAACTTCTGGAGGTCGGAATTTACAAGAAAATGTCTAGTGAATTTTGGAATGTCGTGAATAAATATCGAAATGTTCAGTTTGAGAAATTTTGGTTGTGAAAAAGTTGTGTAAAAATCCTTAAAAAATTCTGAAATGTAGATTTTAACGAGGTGATCCAAAAAATATAACGCCTGTCTGAAGTGCACTTTTTTAAAAATTCCAAAAATTCTCATGTTTTAATGAACAATTTTGGAGAAATGGGTATTGAAGAATTTAAGCCAAAAGTAACTTCTGGAGGTCGAAATTTAGAGCAAAATGTCTTTCGTGAAAATTCGAATGTTGTCGATAAAATTTTCATTCTACAAAATTTTGGTTTTGAAAAAGTTGTCTAAAAATCCGCAAAAAATTTGGATATATGTATATTATCGACGTGCTAATTCGAAAAATATGGCGTTCTGATGGTCCTAGAACAAAATTTTAGCAATATTCTGTCTGAAGTGCACTTTTTTAAACAATTTGTAAAATCTTTATATTTCAGTACAAGAAAATGTGTTTTGTGAAATTTCGAATATCGTGAATAAATTCCCAAATTTTATTTTGAAAAATTTTCGTGTTTAAAAAGTTATCTAAAGGTCCTTAAAAAACTCAGGGGTATAGATATCGACGTACTGATTCCAAAATATAACGTTTTTATAGCCCCGGAACAAGATTTTAGCAATACACTGTTTCAATTTTTGAAAATATTGGTAGGGGTTATCGAAGAAATTAAACCAAAAATTATTTTCAGAGGTCGAAATGTACAATAAAATGTCTTTGGTAAAGTTTCGAAGGACGTCGATTAATTCCGGAATTTTCATATTGAAAAATTTTGGTTTTAAGAAAATCGAATAGTCCCCAAAAAATCCGGGGTAGATATAGATCTCGACGTGCTTATTCCAAAAATATAACATTTTAAAGGTCTCGGGCCAAAATTTTAGAAATATTCGGTTATATTTCAAGTTTTTACAAAAATACAAAACGCTGTTTCAAAAATTTTAAGGGTTTTAAAATCCTTGAGAGTCAACATGTTGAATATTTTATATCATAGAGGAATACTTTTCTTAATATTTTATTATTTTTGCCACATCATGGTAGAACGACCAACAAGATCTTCTTTATTTTACCCCAAAACATTTTAATCCTTAATCTCTACATATTTTACGGAACTTTTGGTGTGTTTAATGAAAATAAAACCTAATTTTTGTGTCTCCCCATTTCAGGTATCCCTCATGTCGCGAATAATTCCATCTCCCGACTGGTTCATCGGGATCGACAGCTTCGACTTGTGCGTGAACGGCAACTGGCTGGACAGCATCACAATTGAAGTAAGCTCAAAATCCAAATTTCCCTAAGTTTACCCTTCCATTAAAAGAAAATCCACAATCTCCGCTACCCAGCAGAACAGCTCTCCACTGCAATTAAGCAATATCCACCCCTTCGCTGCATTAAACCCGTCGGCACGTCCCTCGCGCTCTTAATTTGTCAATTACGTGCCATAATCCCCACGGCTAAAGGGCGCTTGCACTCTGATGTATCGCGCCAAATTGTCACTTTAAGTGTGGTTATGTTCAGGTGGATCCGATTGATGCCGGAACCGACAACGGATTTACGTTCACAGCCCCGAACTGGCCGACAGAACCACAAGGGGAGGCCTATCGCATTACGGCCCATTACCCCGCTCATCCTGCTGGATCGTTCTTCTATCCCTATCTGAAGCGTCTCCCGCCCATCGGCACGTTTCAATTTATTAAGGTAATGTCTTATAAGTTTGCAACTCGGACGGCATATGTTGGGGGCGAAATGAACCGGAAATGTCCTCGAACAGGGTTTATGGGCACTCGAGATGCATCGACTTACAAACCTCTCTTAAAAGTTTCTTGTAGTTGCTTACCTCGAAATTGCGAGGTTAACTTACCTTAACCTAACTTTCATCTACGACGAGTGCTTGTTCAAGAAAGCGTCTCAAAACGAAATAAAAAATACTGGAGCTATCACGTCGTTTTCGTACATCTCGAGCGATATTTTTCGTCGGGCGGTGTAATTGAGAACCTCTTAACTTCGTCCCTTGATAAATTACAATTTCCAACGGTTTCAGGTCAAAGAGTACGAGCTGAGTGAAGTGTTCCATCATGCCGAAGACGATCAACGTTATGAAGTTTTAAAAATGGAGCACTTGACCCAGAATAGTATAAACGTTTTAAATGGAAACAGCGATATTGAAACAGCCATCGAGGAAGAACGTGAGGAGCAGGAAATTCATCAGCGTCCTCGACCTCGGCCCCGTCCATACAAGCAGTTCGTTCTATCGACTTCGACGACTACTAGCACCACTTCGAGAGCATCATCCGATCCAGACAGATCGCTCAACGCCATGTAAGTTGCTTAGCTGCAATATTTTGTTAGAAGGTGAACTTTCGACGAGTCCATAACCTGATCTTGATTCATTCTAAAAGCGCTCTTTTCAAACTTTTTCATTAAAAGCGTTGTTCCTGAATATATCTTTTACAAATTAAAATAGTATTAGTGGAATTTAAGTAGACTATTAATATACCAAACGTGACATTTCCAGCTGTAGGCTTTTACTTTCACTTTAGCCCGCCTTACGAAGCTAAGCTCAACACGGCGAACGATATTTATGTGTTTCCAGACAACTTTATTTAAAGATAAACTGTCATCCGCCCTTAAAGTAAATATGATATTTACACACTTTCTCCTGTTTATTTGTAATTTGTTAGTAGGAAACCAGTCAAAAGCCTTTGACTGTACGACGATAACTCATTACCGTGTTTACATTAGGTGCTTTCTGTTAAATGCGGTGTCGTTTACAACACGTTGTATTACGCTGTGTGATGTATAGAGAATATCACTCGTAATTAGGAGAAAGCGCGTGGGACGTAAAACGAATCCCTGCGATACAAAAAAAAATATATATTACGTTGCGGAAATTTCAGCTGTATTAATTTTAAACAAACGTGTCTTAGTTCTATTATTATTATTATTATTAAAAATTAACAATGTTGAAATAACTTCAGAAGCTCGTTCCATACCAATAAGTCGGCCGTATTTGTTTTATATTATTTTTGTTGGGGGAGCACGAATTGATCGACACTGGGTAAACAAAGGGGTTAAAAAGGTGAACACTCGAAATTTACTTTTTCCTGTGTAAATAGAGCCATGTTCGATGATGTTGCGTATTGGCGCATTTAGATCGATCATTACGCAAATGGCGGTATTTGCAGGTGTATTGTTTATTCGCACAGAGGGTGGGTCGGAAGTGTCTCGTGTTAAATTACGTTCATGAATTTTGCAGTATTTTTTTAATCTGAAAGCGGTTTCGCTAAAGGGCCGTTGGGGAAGACAAATTTGACGGTAATTATCGCTCAAGAAGGCGGCTCGGTATTAGCTTTCATGGTGTTTGCCACAATTTTCCCAATTCTGCTTTTCACAGTCTCTTGAAGGTTTTGTTAGGAAGTTAACAACGTTATAACGATGGTTGTTCACGATGTTGGGAAATTTTAGGCGGATTAGTCGCGATTCAAAGGATATGTTTGCGAAGATAAAATTGTGGAGGTCTAGAAGTTGTTCAGCATTCAGTTTTTGTGATTAGGTATCACAAAGTTGAACCCAAAAATTATGGTCTTTGAATTTTCCGCAACCTTTTTAAATTTTTCTATTTAAATTGAAATTTTAATATATAAATCTAATTTTATATTTTAAGCAGTTTTTTAATTTTCCAAATTTCAAGATTTTTGCAAGTTCTTCTTCCTCGTTTGAATTCTAGGACTCCAATTTCTGTATCATTTAAGTTCTATTTAATTTAATCAAAAATTAAAAGCGCCCGAAAATTTCAAACGTGATTTTTTAAGTTACTTTTCAGAATAATTAAGTTACTTTCTTCAAAAGAGAGTTTTGACCGTTTTTTGAATTTTCTAAATTTTCTGACGTCTGTTTTATTTAACTTCAAATTATTAAATTTCTAACTTGATTTTTTCTTAGTGCTTCTGAATTACTTTTTGTTTCTTCGAAAGTGGTGAGATTTTGACTGTTATTCGATTTTTTCCAATTTTCAAGATTTCCGCAAGTTCTTTAAAATTGCTCGCTTGAATTCTAAGGTTCTAATTTTTGTTTTCCGTTAATTTCTAATTAATTCAATTAAATAAGATCAAACGTTTCAAACGCGATTTTTTTGAGATACGATTCCACAATTATTATTTTATTGTTTTCAACAGTTGGGAGATTTTGACCGTTTTTTGAATTTTTCAAATTTCTAAATTTCTAAAGTTCTTCAATTCCTCGTTTGAAATCTAAGAATCTGATTTATATTTCATTTAACTTCTAAGCAACTAAATTAAAAAATGCCAAACATTTTTTTAACCTGATTTTATTATTTTAATTTTTCAAAAGTGCTGTGATTTTAACCATTTTTTGAATTTTCTAAATTTCAAGATTTCTACAAGTTCTTCAAAATACCTCACTTAAATTGCAAGATTTCGATTTTTATTTAACTTCTAAATTGATTGAATTTAAAAAGGCCAACAACTTTTAAGGTGTGTTTGTGTTATAATTCCAGAATTATTATTTTATTGTTAAAATCAAAATTTTTTAAATTTTCCAAATTTCAACATTTCTGAAAATGTTTCAAAAGTTGAATTCTAAGATTCTGATTTCTGTTTTATTTAACTTCTAATAATTGAATTAAAATAGATCGAAAACATCTAACGTGATTTTTTTTTTGTTATAATTCAAGATTTTTTTTCAATAGTGATGAGATTTTTACCGTTTTATGAGATTTCTGCAAGTTTTTCAAACTTCTTCGCTTGAATTCCAACGTTCTGAGTTCAGTTTCATTGTTATGTTAACTATTTTTCCGAAAAGTGGAGAGATTTTTGCCATTTTTTGAATTTTCCAAATTTAAATATTTCTGCAAGGTCTTCCAAATTCCTCATTAGAATTCTACGATGCTCATTTTTGTTGTCATTAACTTATAAATAATTGAATTTTAAAAACCAAGCATTTTTAACATGATTTTTCACATTCAAGATATTTTAAAGTTCTTGAAGTTCCTCGCTTGAATTCTAAGATTCTGATTTCTGTTTCATTTATCTTCTAATTCATTGAATTAAAAATTCAAAAATTTCAAACGTGATTTTTTTAGGTCATAATTTAAGAATTATTGGTCAATTATTTTCAGTAGTGGAACGATTTTCACCCTTTTCCCAAATTTCAAAATTTCTGCAAGTTTTTCAAAATTCTTCGCTTCAGTTCTAAATTTCTGATTTCTATTTTTTTTTAACTTTTAAGTAATTGAATTAAAAAAGGCCAAAAATTTGTAGTATGATCTTTTAAATTCAAGATTCAGATTTCTATTTCATTTAATATCTGATTAGTTGACTTAAAAAAGGTAAAAAATTCTAATGCGAATTTTTAATGTTCAACATTTTTGCAAATTCTTCAAAATTCCTCGCTTGAATTCTAAGATTCTGATTTCTGTTTTATTTAACTTACACGTAAATGAATTAAAAATGGCCAAAAATTTCTAATATTTTTTAAATTCAAGATTTCTACAAGTTCTTCAAATTTGCTTGCTTGTATTCTAAGCTTCTAAGTTCTGTTTCATTTAACTTCTAATTAATGTAATTAAAAAAAAAACAAAAATTTCAAGCGTGATTTTTTTAAGTTGTAGAATTTCCAGAACTCCTGTTATATTGTTTTCCCGAAAAGTGGAGCCATTTTTACCATTTTTTGAATTTTTCAAATTTCAAGATATCTGAAAATTCTCCCAAATTCCTCGTTTGAATTCTAAGATACTGATTTCTGATGTCATTTACTTCTAAATAATTGAATTTAAAAAAGCCAACAATTTTTAACATGATTTTTTCACATTTAAACTGTTTGAAAGCTCTTGAAATTCCTCGCTTGAATTCCAAGATTCTGATTTCTGTTTCATTTATGTTCTAATTCATTGAATTAAAAATTCCAAAAGTTCTAACGCGATTTTTTATGTTATAATTCAAGAATTATTGGTTAACTATTTTCAGTAGTAGAACGATTTTCACCGTCTTTCCAAATTTCAAAATTTGTGCAAGTTCTTCAAAATTCTTCACTTGAATTCTAAGATTCTGATTTCTGTTTTATTTAACTTTTAAGTAATTGAATTCAAAAAGGCCAAAAATTTATAGTATGATCTTTTAAATTCAAGATTTTTACAAGTTCTTTAAAATTCCTCGCTTGAATTACAAGATTCTGATTTCTATTTCAATTAATATCTAATTAATTGACTTAAAAAAGGTAAAAAAAAATTAATGTGAATTTTTAATGTTCAACATTTTTGCAAATTCTTCACAATTCCTGGCTTGAATTCTGGAATTTTGATTTCTGTGTTGTTTAACTTACAAGTAAATGAATTAAAAATGGCAAGAAATTTCAATTTTTTTTTAAATTCAAGATTTCTACAACTTCTTCAAATTTGCTTGCTTGAATTCTAAGCTTCTGGGTTTTGTTTCATTTAACTTCTAATTACTGTAATTAAAAAAAAATCAAGCGTGATTTTTTTTTAAGTTAGAGGATTTCCAGAATTATTATATTTGTTTCCCGAAAAGTGGAGCTATTTTTACCATTTTTTGAATTTTCCAAATTTAAAGATATCTGAAAATTCTCCCAAATTCCTCGTTTGAATTCTAAGATACTGATTTCTGATGTCATTTACTTCTAAATAATTAAATTTAAAAAAGCCAACAATTTTTAACATGATTTTTTCACATTTAAAATTTTTGAAAGCTCTTGAAATTCCTCGCTTGAATTCCACGTTTCTGATTTCTGTTTCATTTATCTTCTAATTCATTGAATTAAAAATTCCAAAAGCTCAAACGTGATTTTTTATGTTATAATTCAAGAATTATTGGTCAATTATTTACAGTAGTAGAACGATTTTCACCGTTTTTCCAAATTTCAAAATTTTTGCAAGTTCTTCAAAATTCTTCGCTTGAATTCTAAAATTCTGATTTCCGTTTTATTTAACTTTTAAGTAATTGAATTCAAAAAGGCCAAAAATTTCTATTATGATCTTTTAAATCAAGCGTTTTACAAGTTCTTTAAAATTCCTCGCTTGAATTACAAGATTCTGATTTCTATTTCATTTAATATCTGATTAATTGACTTAAGAAAAGTAAAAAATTTCTAATGTGAGTTTTTAATGTACAATATTTTTGCAAATTCTTCTATTTTTACCATTTTTTTAATTTTACAAATTTCAAGATATCTGCAAATTCTCCCAAATTTCTCGTTTGAATTCTAAGATGCTGATTTCTGTTGTCAATTACTTCTAAATAATTGAATTTAAAAAACCCAACAATTTTTAACATGATTTTTTCACATTCAAGATTTTTTAAAGTTCTTGAAATTCCTCGCTTGAACTCCAAGAATCTGATTTCTGTTTCATTTATGTTCTAATTCATTGAATTATTGGTTAACTATTTTTAATAGTAGAACGATTTTCACCCTTTTTCCAAATTTAAAAATTTTTACAAGTTCTTCAAAATTCTTCACTTGAATTCTAAGATTCTCTTTTCTGTTTTAAACTTTTAAATAATTGAATTCAAAAAGGCCAAACATTTATAGTATGATTTTTTAAATTCAAGAGTTTTACAAGTTCTTTAAAATTCCTCGCTTGAATTACAAGATTCTGATTTCTATTTAATTTATTATCTGATTAATTGACTTAAAAAAGGTAAAAAATTTCTAATGTGAGTTTTTGATGTACATTTGAATTCGAAGATGCTGATTCCTGTTGTCATTTACTTCTAAAAAATTGAATTTAAAAAACCCAACAATTTTTAAAATTATTTTTTCACATTCAAGATTTTTGCAAGTTCTTGAAATTCCTCGCTTGAATTTCAATATTCTGATTTCTGTTTCATTTATCTTCTAATTCACTGAATTAAAAAGACGAAAATTTCTAACGTGATGTTTTTGTTATGAATTATTGCCTAATTATTTTCAGTAGTAAAACAATTTTCACCCTTTTTTCAATTTTTCAAATTTCCATATTTCTGCAAGTTCTTCAAAATTCCTTCCTTGAATTATAAGGATCTAATTTCTGTTTCATTCATTTTCTAATTAATTAAGTCAAAAAAGCCAAACATTTCAGACACGATTTTTTTTTAGTTTTAGTCGTAATTCCAGAGTTATTATATTGCTACCCTCAAGAATAGGGATGTTTTACCGTTTTTTAAATTTTTCAGATTTCAAGATTTTTCCTGCTTCAAATTTCTTTATTTGTATTCTAAAATTCTGATTTCTTTTTTATTTATCTTCTTAGTAATTGAATTTAAAAACGCCAACAATTTTTGTAAGTTCTAAAATTCCTCGCTTGAATTGTTAAGATTGATTTCTGTTTCATGCAACTTTTAATTAACTGTTGATTTCTGTTTTAATTGACTTCTAAATAATTTAATTAAAAAAAGGCAACCACTTTCAATATATTTTTTTAAATTCAAAATTTTTGCAAGTTCTTGAAATTGCTCGCTTAAATTCCTAGATTCTAATTTCTATTTCATTTATCTTCTAATTAATTGAATTAAAAAGGACCAAAAATTTCTAACCAGAATTTTTTCTTACAATTTCGAAATTATTGTTTCATTTTTTTCAAAAGAGCGATGATTTTGATCATTTTTGGAATTTTCCAAATTTCAAGATAAAAATTTTGAAATTTGAACTTGAAAAATGAGGGGATTTTAAATGTTTTTTCAATTTCCCAATTTTCAAAATTTCTGCAAGATCTTTAAAATTCCTCACTTGAATTCTAAGATTCTGTTTTCAGTTTTATTTAACTTCTAAACAAGTGAATTAAAAATGGCCAAAAATTTTTAACATGCTTTTTTAAATTCAAGACTTTTGCAAATTCCAAGATCCTGATTTATATTTCATTCAACTTCTAATTAACTGAATTAAAAAAGGTCAAAAATTTCTAACCTCGTTTGATTATGTTATTACTTTAAAATTATTATTTTATTTTCTTCAAAAGTGGTGAGATTTTGACCGTTCTTTGAATTTTTTAAATTTCAAGATTTCTGAAAATTCTTGAATTCTAAAGTTCTAAGTTTTGTTTCATTTAAATTCTAATTAATTTAATTAAAAACGCCAAATTTTCTAGTGTTATTTTTTTATGTTGTAATTGCAAAATTACTATTAATTATTTTCAGTAGTGGAGCGATTTTTACCCTTTTTTCAATTTTCCAAATTTCAAGATTTCTGCAAGTTCTTCAAAATTCCTCCCTTGAATTATATGGTTTTAATTGCTCTTTCGTTTAATTTCTAATTAATTTAATTTCAAATTTAAGTTCAAAAAACGTGATTTTTTTGAGATTTTTACCGTTCTTTGAATTTTCCAAATTTCAAGATGTTTCCTGCTTCCTCAAAATTCCTTATTTGATTTCTAAAATTCTGATTTTTTTTTATTTTACTTCCAAGTAATTAAATTTCAAATGCCCACAATTTCTAACATGATTTTTTAAGTTCAAAATTAATTGACTTAAAATTAGCAAGCATTTCTTACGTGATTTTTGTTGTTAAAATTCCAGAATTATTATATTATTTTTCAAAATTGGGGTGATTTTTACCGGTTTTTGAATTTCCCAAATTTCAATTTTCCTGCAAATTCTTCAAAATTCTCCATTTGGATTCTAAGATGCTGATTTCCGTTTTAATTAACTCCTAAATAATTGAATTAAAAAAAGCCAACAACTTTTAACATGATTTTTTTAAATTCAAGATTTTTGCGAGTTCTTGAAATTCCTCGCTTGATTTTCAAGATTCTCATTCCTGTTTCATTTATCTTGCAATTAATTGAATTAAAAAAGGCCAAAATTTCTAACATGATTTTTTTGTGTTACAGTTCAAGAATTATTATGTAATTATTTTCAATAGTGGAGCGATTTTTACCCTTTTTTCAAATTTTTCAGATTTCTAAATTTCTGCAACTTTATTCAATTGAAAAATGCCAAGTTTTCCAAAAGTGATTTTTTAAAGTTATAATTGCCGAACTATTACATTATTTTTACAAAATGTAATAGTTTTACTATTTTTTTAATGTTACAAATTTCAAAATTTCTATAAGTTGTTCAAAATTCCTCATTTGAATCCTAAAAGAATAATTTATATTTCATTTAACTTTTAATTAATTTAATGAAAGGTAATAAATTATATTCATATTTTTCGGTATTGTGGGGTTAACAAGAACAGTATATAACCTTCCACTAATAGTATTTTAGTGAAGTCTTCTGAAAAATAACCTATAATATTAATTTTACTTTTTCTCTTATTATTTATTGGAAGCATTAGAAATGAATCGCGATTTTTTTTTTTTCAGAAACGAGAAAGACGATTTCGTCACGCCACCTTCGATTCCGGCCGTAGTCCCCCGTGGGGACAAAGACGCCATCATCAACAGCATCGCAGACTCCTACCTAAGCCATTCGAAAGACCATCACCACAAAAAGTACCGCAAGCCCAGAAAGAACGTCAGAAAATACCGTAAGTATCAAAAACCGCCGCGACCACACGTCGTCCGCCCCGCTACACCTGCTACATATCCCGCTTCCTTGCAGGTCCGCCCCGGGACTGCCGCGTGAGCGAGTGGTCCCCCTGGAGCACCTGCAGCAAGTCCTGCGGGATCGGCGAGATGCAGAGGCGCAGAGAGGTGCTAAAGCACGCCAGACGCGGCGGCCGCCTCTGCCCCCCCTTAGTCGAGACGAAATGGTGCGGCTCGGCTCGCTCCTGCAACAAGGAGTACTTCAAGTTCTAGGGTCCTGTCGTCGGCACACCTGTGTTCAGTGCTCGCGCCTACTCACGATCAAAAACTTCCAGAGACATTTAAATGTTTGTGATTCACTCTCAGGGTTCACGCGTTGAACTCGAAGCGGACTGTACCGGAGACTTTGGTACGTTTTGTAAGTATTTTTAACGATAATAATTATTTTTAAGAAGAGACAATCGATATTTATTGACATCCGAGGCACGATCGTGGGGCCCAGAGATTACTATAAAGATAAACGAGACGTCCTACAGTTTTCAGTCAGACTTCTTTTACAATAATAGGGTACGTGTAGAACTTGTATACCTTTTTGGGGATTATTGTGTAAAAATGTTCTTACATGATTTTGTGTGTGATACAGACCGTTTACTAATTTTTAAGAATGACATGCTAAATTATTTAGAAGTTTGTAAATATAACTATAGGTACAAAGATGTAGGTGTTAGAGACAAATGTCAATGAGAATTTCTATCAAAAATTTGTAATAATGAAGAACTGTTGATTTTTATTGGAGGAATTTCGTAATGTCAATATCACGTACCAGAGATGGTCGCTCAGCGTCAAACCAAACATGACTTCTACATATAGGCACATAGGATAATTTTGTATTACATAAGTTGTATGTATGTATAATTGTACTAATATTATCATTTTTAGTTACTTATCATGCTCATATGTATTCAATAAAACAATAAACGTTATATTTACATAAACCGGAGTCTCTTTCCCCGAATTACACAAACCCACTCCCAAATAATTTCTGACCATGTTTAGATATGCAAATTTATGGCCCCTATCTCCAGTTCAGGATACGGAAACTGAACTCACATCACTGATCAGTATCGATAACTAATTTAGGTACGAATCAGGATATGTCCAACAGGAGTTAAACTAAACACGACAAACTGGAGAATTGTATTACCATTCTGTACACGGAGCTTTAGAAGGTAATTAGTAGTCTATTGAGACCATGGGGATCGATAGACGGAAACCAGAAAGACAGCAAGTCCGTCGCTACAAGAAGTGGAGTTCAAATAACGCGAAATCCGTCTCCGAGATCCAAAAATCTGTTAAACAAAAAATGAGTTAAACTAAAGTTAAAAAAAAATCGTTCCAACCAGGTAAGTAATTATTGTTATTTACAGCGTCGTGTATTTTCTTTGGTGTTGAAATTAATAAAATTCTAAAATTTTCGTGTCTGCTTACTTTGGCAAGTGTACTGGCTACAGAGTGATTAATTAGATCTGAATGCTCTGTTTTTCAAAACGTTGTCAAGCACAGCGTAGAATCAAAATAAGTTGTATCATCAAGATTAATTAGTGGTCACTGGTTTATTACAAAATAATGTGGTGTTAAAATTTTTGTTACGTTTGACTGCTTTTTGGCGCTGATTATTTTTTTCAAAATTTTACAGGTTTAACACAGTATATTTATAACATAACTATAGAAATAGCTGAGTTACTAAGATCTTGATAATTTGCCTTTCCTTTCTTGTGTTCTTCCTTTTATGGCAGGTCTCATACTTCATTCCTTTCTTCATTGGTTTCCACTCAGCAAACATACATAAAATCATCTTGTCATAACTTAAAAATCTGTTGGTCGTGTTTTTTACAAAAAACGTGTAAGCATTTTCTTCAGTCTTCAGTTTCTTCTGAAGAAACTTGAACTGAGTTTAACATTTTGGAAATTAAACTTCCAGAACACTTTCAATATTATCGTATCATTTTTGCTTAGAATGTTCAGTTTCCCTCTGAAAAATCTATCGAGAATTCTTCTTCAATCTATTATTTGGCCAAGGCGCACTTTAACACCATCAGGCTCTTCTAAAATGAAATAATTTAGAGTTTGTTTCGTTCATCATCATCATCAGTTATGATGATGTAGAATTTCTTCAAACATCCCTGAATTCGTGTTTTCATCTTCAATAATGGACCCAATCTGCGGTATCAAAATTTTCTCGAGTCAATTTCTTGTCAATGGAATCTAGAATTGTATTGCCGGATCCACGGTTAACTCTCTCTTCCAAAGTTTCTTCTGAGCAGACTATCATAGAATCATCTAGAAATATCTTCCATAATTTTCGATGTAAATCTTGCTCCAAATATTTCTAATCCTTTTTGTTTTAAAATAGATTACTTTTAGAATCTTTTCGAATTCTCGGCAACTGATTTGTTTATTTTTCTAAATTTCGCCTATATTTCTTTTGTCCTGCCATGAGTGAAATTAAACGTTTTATTTTTGTCTCTCGCGTTGCAAACAGATATTTCGAGAACACTTTCTATACTCTTCTGTATTTCTTGTTCAGAATGTTCCGTCTTCTTTTGAGAAATCTATCGAGAAAGGTTCTTCAATCAAATATTTGGCCAAGGGCCCTTTTATCATGGTCTTCTAGAATAGAATAATTTTGGGATTCTTCGGTTCTCTGCCAAATGGCTTCTTCTCGTCTTTGAACAGATTCATCTAGAATATTGATTCTTCAAAATTCCCTGGATTTATCATTTCTTGATAATGATCTATTAATGATCTTCTGTGTAAGCTTTGTCTAAAATCTTTTCGAAATCTCGGCAACCCATTAGTTTCTTCAAAAGTAAATTTTTTGAGGTGGACATTTCCTTAAACCTCTTCTATATTTCTTTTTTCCTCGAGAAGTGAAATTAAACGCTTCATTTTTTCTCTTTCCAGTTAGAAAAAAAGATCTCCAGAACACTGTTAAAATTCTTCTCTATTTCTTAGCTCGAATGTTCAGTTTTTTTTGAGAAGTCTATCAAGAATCGTTCTTCAGTCCATTGGGCAAGTAGCCCTTTAGCATCAACAAGCTCTTTTCCAATGGAATAATTTAAAATATCTTCAGTTCTTCGTCAAATGGCTTTTTTTCCGTTTGATTACAATTCTTCTAGAACGTCACATACGATTTCCAAGTGATGTGGAATTTCTTCAAAATTTCCTAGAATTATCCTTTCTTGACAATACCTACTCTACACTACTGAAGTTCTTCAGATCAAGTTGTTATCAATGGAACGTAGATTCAGACGTAGATTCAGACGGACCTTTCTTGTGAGCAGACTATTTGAGAACAATCTAGAAATTTCTTCCACGATCTTCAATCTAAGTCTTGTTCCAAATATTTCTAATTCTTTTTGTTTTAGAATCAAATTCTTTTAGAATCTTTTCGAAATCACGGCAAACTATTAGTTTCATCAAATGTAAATTCTTTCAAGTGAACTTTTCCCTAAACTTCTTCTATATTTCTTTTTCCTTCGAGAAGTGAACTTAATCGATTCATTTTTTGTCTTTCCAGTTAGAAACAAAGTCTTCGAGAATATTTTCAGTACTCTTCCCTATTTCTTAGCTAGTCTTCTTTTGCGAAATCTATCAAGAATCGCAATTCAATCTACTATTTGGCCAAGAAGACATTTATCATCATCAATATCTTCTCAATTAGAATAATTTAGAGTATCTTCAGTTCTTCGTCAAATAGTTTTTCCCCTCTTGATTACAATTCTTCTAGAACGCCAGATACGATTTCCAAATGATGTAGAATTTCTTCAAAATTCCCTCAATTTATGCTTTCTTGATAATGGATCTATTCTATGGGGCCGAAGTTTTCTCAAGTCAATTTCTTATCAATGGAACGTAGATTAAGAAGGGTAACCTTTCTCCTAAGCAGACTATTTGAGAACTATCTATAAATTTCTTCCAAGATCTTCAATCGAAGTCTTGTTCCAAATATATCTAATTTTTTTTGTTTTAGAATAAAATTATTTTAGAATCTTTTCGAAATTTCGGCAAACTATTAGTTTCATCAAATGTAAATTCTTTGAGGTGAACTTTTTCCTAAACTTCTTCTATATTTCTTTTTTCTTCGAGAAGTGAACTTAATCGATTCATTTTTTGTCTTTCCAGTTAGAAACAAAGTCTTCCAGAACACTTTCAGTACTCTTCTCTATTTCTGAGTTAGTCTTCTTTTGCGAAATCTATCAAGAATCGCAATTCAATCCACTATTTGGCCAAGAAGACATTTAACATCATCAAGATCTTCTCAATTAGAATAATTTAGAGTATCTTCAGTTCTTCGTCAAATGGCTTTTTCCCCTCTTGATTAGAATTTTCTAGAACGTCAGATACGATTTCCAAATGATGTAGAATTTCTTCAAAATTCCCTCAATTTATGCTTTCTTGATAATGGATCTATTCTATTGGGCTTAAATTTTTTCAAGTCAATTTCTTATCAATGGAACGTAGATTAAGAAGGGTAACCTTTCTCCTAAGCAGACTATTTGAGAACTATCTATAAATTTCTTCCAAGATCTTCAATCTAAGTCTTGTTCCAAATATATCTAATTTTTTTTGTTTTAGAATAAAATTATTTTTGAATCTTTTCGAAATTTCGGCAAACTATTAGTTTCATCAAATGTAAATTCTTTGAGGTGAACTTTTTCCTAAACTTCTTCTATATCTCTTTTTTCTTCGAGAAGTGAACTTAAACGACTCATTTTTTGTCTTTCCAGTTAGAAACAAAGTCTTCCAGAACACTTTCAGTACTCTTCCCTATTTCTTAGCTAGTCTTCTTTTGTGAAATCTATCAAGAATCGCAATTCAATCCACTATTTGGCCAAGAAGACATTTAACATCATCAAGATCTTCTCAATTAGAATAATTTAGAGTATCTTCAGTTCTTCGTCAAATGGCTTTTTCCCCTCTTGATTAGAATTCTTCTAGAACGTTGGATACGATTTCCAAATGATATAGAATTTCTTCAAAATTTTCTGGATTTATATTTTCTTGATAATACCTATTCTACGTTACTAAAGTTTTTTCATGTAACTTCTTACCAATGGAATGTAGAGTCAGAAGGGTAACCTTTCTTATGAGCAGACTATTTTAGAACCATCTAGAAATTTCATCCATGATCTTCAGTCTAAATCTTGTTCCAAATATTTCTTCTTGTTCTAGAATAGAATTCTTCTAGAATTTTTCCAAATTCCCGTCAACTAATTTGTTCCATTAAAAGTAAATTGTTTGAGGTGAACCTTTTGCTAAATCTCTTATAGTTTCTGAGTAGAAGACCTGTGGAATCTTCCCAAACTCTCATTATCGAAATCTAATAAAAAAAGCATCTAGAAATTTCTTCCATGATCTTCAATCTAAATCTCATTTGTTCTAATGCTTTTTGTTTTACAACAGAATTCTGTTAGAACCTTTTCGAACACCCGTCGACTTATTAGTTTCTTCAAAACTAAATTCTACGAGGTGAACATTTTCCGAAATCTCTTCTATATTTCTTTGTTCTTCCATGAATTAAATTAAACGCATTATTGTTTGTCTTCTCAGTTAAAAACAAAAACTTTCTCAACACTTTCAATACTCTTTTAGTTTCCTTGATTAGAAGGCTCACTTTTCTTTTGAGAAATTTATGGAGAATGCTTCTTCAATAAATTATTGAGGCAAATAGCACTTTAACACCATCAGAGTCTTCTCGAATTGAAGAATTTAAAAGTGTTGTCAGTTTGTCGTCAAATGGCTTCCTTCCATCTATAATTAGAATTCTTCTAGAACGTCACTTTCGATTTCCAAATGATCTATAATTTTTTCAAAAATTCCTGGATTTATTTTTTCTTCTTGATTATCGACCTATTATACGCAACTGGAGTGGCCTGGAGTCAACATCTTGTAAATGGAACCTAGATTTCTTTTACTGCGTCTGCAGTCAACT